TAGCAGGTAGTAGGAAGTAGGAAGCAGGTCGCAGGTCGTAGGACGTAGGTCGTAGGTAGCAGGTAGTAGGTAGTAGTAGTAGTAGTAGTAGTAGTAGTAGTAGTAGTAGTACTAGTAATAGTAGTAGTAGTAGTACTAGTAGTAGTAGTAGTAGTAGTAGTAGCAGTAGTGGTAGTAGTAGTAGCAGTAGTGGTAGAAGTAGTAGTCGTAGTAGCAGTAGTAATAATAGAATTGCAAGAGCAATCGTAGTAGTAGCAGCAGCAGTGGACGTAGTATTCATCGTAGTAGTAGTAGCAGTAGTAGTAGCATCAGTAGTAGTAGTAGTAGTCCTCGTACTAGTAGTAGTAGTAGTAGTAGTAGAAGTAGTAGTAGTAGTAGTAGTTGTAGTAGTAGTAGTAGTAGTAAGAGTAAGGGAAATAATACGTATAACAATGCAAATACAAGTATTAGTAGTAGTAGCAGCAGTAGTCGTAGTAATAGTAGTGATAGTAGTAGTAGTAGTAGTAGTAGTAGTAGTAGTAGTAGTAGCACTAGTAGAAGTAGTCGTAGTAGTAGTAGTAGTGAGGATGGCAGTAGTAGGACGTAGTAGTAGTAGTAGTAGTAGCAGTAGTCGTCGCAGTAGTTGTTGTTGTAGTAGTAGCAGCAGTAATCGTAGTAGTAGTAGTAGTTGCTGTAATAGTAGTAGTAGTAGTAGTGGTAGTAGTAGTAGTCGTAGTAGTAGTAGTAATAGCAAACGTAGTCGTAGTCGTAGCCGTAGTCGTAGTATCCGTAGTCGTAGTCGTAGTCGTAGTCGTAGTCGTAGTAGTAGTAGTAGTAGTAGTAGTAAAAGTAGTAGTAGTCGTAGTAGTAGTAGTAGTAGTAGTAGTAGTAGTAGGTAGTAGTAGTAGTAGTAGTAGTAGTAGTAGTAGTAGTAGTAGTAGTAGTCGTAGTAGTAGTAGTATCGTATAGTATTAAGCAGATATAGTAGTCGTAGTCGTAGTCGTAGTCGTAGACTCATAATCCTAGTACGTAGTCGTTTCTTAGTCTTAAGTCGTCAGCCGTAGTCGTAGTCGTAGTCGTAGTCGTAGTCGTAAGTCAGTAGTCGAAGGCGTAGTCGTAATTGTTAGTATATATATATAGTATAAGTAATTAAAGTAGTAGTAGTTAAGTAAGTAGTTAGTACGTTAAAAGTAATATATAGGTAGTAGTAGTAGTCGTAGTAGTATAAAGAACAAAACAATATAAATAGTAGTAGTAGTAGTAGTCGTAGTAGTAGTAGTAGCAGTAGCAGTAGCAGTAGCAGTAGTAGTAGTAGTAGTAGTAGTAGTAGTAGTAGTAGTAGTAGTAGTAGTAGTAGTGATAGTCGTAGTCGTTACCCTAGCCCGCCCAACCAGCCAGCCCAACCAACCCACCCAGCCCACCCGGCCCAACCAGCCCAACCAGCCAAACCAGTCGTCCAACCAGCCACCCAGCCACCCAGCCCAACCAGCCCAACCAGACCAACCAGCCACCCCGCCACCCTGCCAACCCGCCCACCCCCGTGCCCTCCGTCACCGCCGAGAGGGGAGGGAATTGTTTCTTACCAGCGAAAGCCCGTAAACTAGCCCTCCCGGGGACCAGCGGGACAGCGGGGAGGGGGCAAACAACACCGTACTATGCAGGACCGGGATTCCGGCGGGGGGACCGCAAAGTCGGTTCCGGGCCTCAAATGTGACACCGTCGTCATTTTTCACCCTTCACCGCGCCCACTTTCTCAACGGGAAGGCTCTTATCCTTGAAACTGTCGTCAATTTTGAGGCCCCCCGCGTGGCTTCTTAGAGAGCCGCCAGGAGGCTCCAGGAGGCCTCAGGAGGCCACAGGAAACTCCAGGAGATTTCAGGACGCCCCGGGAGGCCTTGGGAATCCCCAGGAGTGTCTAGGACGCTCCAGGAGGCCCCAGGATGCCCCGCAAGGTCCCACGACGCGTCAGGAGGTCCCAGGACGCTGCGGGCGTATCCTGAAGGATCCAGACAGTCCACGAACGCTTGGGACGCCCCTGGAAGGCTCAGGATAACACCCCCGGAGTAGGTCTCAGGAGGCCACAGGAAAGCTCCCGGACGCCGCTCCCCTAGGAGGCCATCGGGATTCCTACAAGGCCCCCTGAGGTCCCATGGTCCATCACGCCTAGGGAGGGGGAGGAGGCCCAGGCTGCCCCGCGAGGTCCCACGAGGCCCCAGGGATCTCCAGGACGCCCCAGGGCGCTCCAGGAGACCCCAGGAGGCTCCAGGAGATTCCAGGAGGCCCCAGGACGCTCCAGGAGGGCCCCAGGAACGACCCACACAGTCCCAGAACGCGTAGGACGCCCCCGGCAGGGGTTAGGGCACCCCAGGAAAGCCCTGGGGGGTTCCAAAGGTTTAGACGTTCGGCGGTAGCCGACACATGATGACCTGAGACAATAACTACGACATCATACAGAACTACAAATTCGAACCTACTTTACACAGCGGAGTGGAGAAGAGGATACATATGGCTTCATGAGACACGTGCGACATGAAGGAGAGCAATGAAACGGCGCAGCCAACATACAGAATGTGCACTCCTGGGGACTGCAGGCGGCAAGCCTACTGGGCCACAGAGTGACGCCCGAATATGTAGACTTTGTCCAAGTGGCTTCTACTCCCGCAGTAGTAGTAGTAGTAGTAGTAGTAGTAGTAGTAGTAGTAGTAGTAGTAGTAGTAGTAAGCATT